TATGAATGCAATAACATATAGCAGTATAAATGTTCCTCGATACACAACAATGATCAATCGATCCCCCTATCAGTCCTAGAACACATACATCTGTAGGTAATCCAGCCTACGACTGTAACTCTGTGCTTCAGTATAAACACTCCTTGGTACAAAAATGGCAAACAATCACTCACCTCTCACTGCGTCTTGCCTGCTAATGTCAAATACTATCACCTCCCTACAAGTAATCATTTAGAACTCCCCTTTCACATCTGGAAGTTCACTACCCTGATATCTTCAGGTTCTTCCGGGCTTAACTACCAGGATCCTCTGCAGCTCCTCCAGGCTGCTACACCATGAAGTTTTTCTTGGGCAACTATGGTACTTCACCACCTCTACAGAAGCATGTGACACTCCTCTTCACTGCTTCTCCTCACAGCTCGAGGTCCTCTCCTCCACTACCTTGGAGTCTCATCAACTACTCCCTCTGTGCTGGCTTCGAAGTTCTCAGCAACTTCTTCCCCAAAGACAAAGCTGCAACCCATTGACACACCAATAAAATGTTTCCTTATAAACACATAGACGAAATAATCCACACAATGTGTTTGCATCCAACATCTATCTGGTCTCTACATGCAGTGAGAGTGGACTCCCCCGTTGGGCTGGTCCATGCTCCACCTCGCCCGGCGGGCCTCACTCACTCTGGGAGGGTCCTCCGCCGTCGGGAGCTCTCAGTCACCTGCCAGCACTCAGAGGGGATGGATGTCGCTCCGTGTTCCTCCCTCTCCACTCTCTTATTTTAGGCCTTCTGCCTTATCAAAACATGTCTAACTTATCAATTAACATTGCTACTGTCGCTGGGCACACGACCAACTACAAGCAATCACTATGAACTGGCTTAAATCGTGCTTACCACAGATTGTCTGGCCGAGGGCGCTCCTCCCTCTGACAGAGCCTGGTCAGGGCACTACAACGGCCCACGGTAATGTCTCTGGGCGGCTTAATAAACACTCCTCGCCGTCCAGGACTTGAGACCACAACGTTCCCAGCTGAGTTCCACAGCTGGCACGTCTGCACACTTCTCTTCTCTTGGAGATATATCACTAGGGGTTCCTTTCTGACGGGAGCTCGAATGGAGCGCGGCTTTCCCCTGCGATGTTTGGCGCTCAAGTGAGGTCAAAGCCTTCCAGATGCGAGCCTCACGCCTCCAGCAAATTATCTACATCTCCTAACCAGTCATTTATCTGTTTTCTTATTCACTGCCCATAATCTTAAATTGTTCATTGAATCCAACAAACTATTTTACATCTGTGTTATCGCCTCTATATTTCCTATATTTTCTAGTTAGGTCAGGCTTGTTGAATAACTCTCAACGGGAAGACTCGTTTCTCCTGTAGGCTGAGATCATAACAACAATACCCTGTGTCTGATACTGGTGATACACAATACCCTGTGTCTGATACTGGTGATACACAATACCCTGTGTCTGATACTGGTGATGCACAATACCCTGTGTCTGACACTGGTGATACACAATACCCTGTGTCTGATACTGGTGATACACAATACCCTGTGTCTGATACTGGTGATACACAATACCCTGTGTCTGACACTGGTGATACACACAATACCCTGTGTCTGACACTGGTGATACACACTGGTGATACACACAATACCCTGTGTCTGACAAAAATACAGATAGTATGTTATATGAACATATATGATTTGTATGTCAACCCTTAAATACATTTCCTCTGGCAACACTCTACCTCCGACTACAACAACAAATTAGCGGTTCCAGACCCCCCTAAGGCAGGCGACCTGGTGAAAGCATTCATAGATCGCAGAGGGAGATTTACGTTTGTTTCCCACTAGCCAGCCCAGAAATGTAAATATATTGGCAACCCCTTCGAACCTGAACTAAATTTGCGGGAAGTACCACCACCGTAGTATCAGTACTCGGTATCTCGTGAACAGGTGCTCATCTCCCTCAGCTCTCTCTATCAAGACGTGTTACCAGTCTACCAGCACTATCAGCCACCACTAGCAGCTATTACCAGCCACTCTTCAAGATACTATCAGCCACTCGCACGTCCAGGGGACACTAGTGAGTATTTAATAATTTGTTTAGAATGATTGCAGAGTGCGTGTATTTACTATTTGTATTTACTATTGTGTGTATGTGTACTTCCCTAGCTGTATTCACCTAGTTGTGCTGGAAGGGTTGTTTAGCTAGATTATGTATAGAAAAGAGAGGTGGGACCAATGAGCTGAAGCTCTACCCATGCACAGACGTAATATAAACCAAACACAAATTGTAAATACACACACATCCTGGGCAGGGCGAGACAGCTAGGCGCGCCTCTTTGCACCCGTTGCCTCTGTTCACCTAGCAGTAATTAGGAACTTGGTTGTTAGTCGACTGTTGTGGGTCGCTTTCTGAGGAATTGTCAAATACCATTCATATTCGAGAGAACTTCGAATTTCCCGCAAAACATGAAACATGTAATAGGTGAGTACACACACACACGCACAAAGCCATTTTTCCCCTGCTGAGAGGCGGAGCCTAGGAACTGAGACTCATCCCCACGTAAACACAATTAGGGTTACACCCCTCAAACACGAAATGAGTACAACTAGGTGAGCTTACACTCACACACGCACACACACACACACAAAAAAAACTTTCTTCATCCACTGGAGAGGTAGAGCCCAGGAACTGAAACGTAAGCACAATTAAGGTTACCACCCCTCAAACACCGAGGTGAGGACAACTAGGTGAGCTCACACACACACGTGCACGTGCGCACGCACACACAAAAAACATTCTTCCACTGAGAGGCGGGACCCAAGAACTGAAGCCCAACCCTACGTAAAGCACTACAACTAGGTGAGCTCGCACACACGCCCACAATTAGGGTTACGCCACACAAACACAGATACCCAACACTGATAATCACATTTAAGTATGCGATTAAGCACTGATAAGCACACTTAATGTATGCTTCTAGCTTGTTCTTAGATAATATATCTGATAACAACACCCATTACATCAGATCTAGTGCGATAACAGGTGTCTTGCTCTGTCAACTGTGCAACTATTACCATTAATCTATAATTTTTTTATCTAATTATATTATAATCACATCTTATCTCAATTATATGTCTAGACAATACAAATAATCAATCAATATGCATTGAAGGCTACCTCGCTCACGGAGCGAACTCGGACTTCAAGTGCCCATCACCGCCAAAGGCTAGAAAGCGAATGTGGAATGTTTACAAGCAGTGAACATGTTACACGATGCTTTGCGAACATTTTCAGTAAAGGACACCACACTAACTTATCATTATCAACAGTGATTACTCTCTTGAACTGGGGGAGTACCTGGACAATATCTATAAGGAAAAATTCCTAGTACTTTATCTAAATAAGAGTGTAGAGTGGAGCACACCAAGTGACACCGCCTCCATCACACCTAATCTTATCCTAATGCAATGCAACTAAGGGCATATTCAACAGAAAAGCTGCCATTTTTGTTTATAAAAAATAGAGTGCCAATTATCTCCAAGAGAAATTATACAATCTGGCTATTTGTCAGACAGACAACGGCACTCAGATTGCATAACCATAAGTATTGAGTGTTATTGTAGTGCGTTGATTGACCAATTGCATGCTTGTATAACCTTAATGTATCCAATAAGTATGTTTATCATCACAGAGCGGGGCGATGCCCCATATTTCAGTAATTTTTTATTAATCTTTCAGTCACTGAATCTTTTCAAGTTATCTAGGCACTCATTTATCTAAACCTCTAAATAAATTTAGAGGTTTAGAAAAACCTCTAAAATAGATTTTTTATTTAAATCTAATAAATTTTTGTGTTTATTAGTATGTGAATATTGGCTATTGTAGTTAGAGTGCTAGGCTGGGCTATGCACATGTTTTGATCCTTGATTTAAACAGAACCAGTGTTCAGTTATAGAACTGAGTTATTAAATCTTATCCTTGTATTAACAATAAAAGCTGATGTATCGAATTGTCTGCAGGTGGATTGTGGATCTTCAATCAACTTGAGAATGGTCCTGGATGGACCGAAACGTCATCGTCTGTTCACTTTCTAGTGTGTGGTTTGGTTAACACATTTCAGTCACGTTATTGTGACACCTCATCTGTAACTTCTACATTAACCCTTAGGAACCCCCACCTGCCCCTTACAGCCTACAGTCTGTCATTAAGACATAAGAAGCTTGGCTTTACGACCCAATCTAGGGAACTTTAGTTGCATTAATTTTGCATACAGTAATTTTTAATCTAGTACAGTACAAGTCCCAAGTAGTTCTCCTTTTTAATCAATCCCGACAATTTTCTCACACCTATTTCTTCCTACTCACATTTTCCATTTGAATTTCCCTTCCAATTCCTTACCTACATTCTTCCAGTATTGCAAATGGTGGCATCGGTGGGATACACTCAGTGAGAGTGTGGTGTTATTAGCTTATACTAGGAGTGTAGTGTCATAAGTTGACACTAGTAGAGTAATATCATAGGCACATGCAAGGATTGTAGTGTCATAAGCTCACACTAAAAGTGCAGTGTCATAAGCTCACACTAGGCGTAGTGTCATAAGCCTATACTAGGAGTGTGGTGCCATAAGCTTACGCTATTAGTAGTGTCATAAGTTCACACTAGTAGTGTCAAAAGTTCACCCTAGTAAAATGTCCATAAACTTATTAAAAGTTAAAATTTTGTGTTATATGCTCGTACTAGAAGTGTTGAATTATAATCTAACACCTTTGCAATGCTTGTGATGTAGTAATCTCGTATTAAAGTATTTCTTTTCATAATACTGATTGTTTAGTCATTATACTTCCTAAAAACAGTATGCGCACCTCACACATTTTCAGAGTTCTTTAAATCAGCATTTTATATCAGTAATTACAAATATTTAACAATAATTATTTATTTATTTACCAATTTATATTGCTTATCAACTATTGTTGGTTAAATCATTGACAAATTAACTTTATAAATATATTTATAATTTCATAACAGTAAACAAATAAAATTTTGCTTATTTAAAATAAAATAATGTCTTTATATATACAGTACTGAGGCACCTTATTCTATACAACTCTAGTACATTTATGTGTGAGAACATCAGTATGAGCTGTGAGGAGGATTTGGACTTGCACACACGGGTCTTACTGATTTTCTCATTGTTATATCACGTTAAGGTGATTTTTTGTGCATATTATGTATCAGTCTTCATTTTGTGCTTAATTTCCGTTTGAGGCTTTCATGTATTGTGTAAAGAATGTCTATAGAAATTCTCTGTACATCTTCATTTCATTCATCTATCTTTCTCTTGTTGATTCTCCCTATGTGTTACATTCTCTAAATGCATTTCTACCGCTTTCAATATTCACAACTCATGTCGTTCCTCATGACTATTTATTTTATCCACTGCCTCTCCTGTAGGCTGTCTGCGCCTTCCTGTAGGAGCCTGTCAGCGGCTTCTTGTAGGCTCCCATGAACAGAACGTTCTTCGTTTGGTTGTCGTGAATGAGGAACAAGAACGGTCTGTTACAGACGAAACTATGCGCCCTGTTGAAGCCGGATCTGAAGTAGGCCACCACCGCCGTCGCAGCTGCGGCCTCTGTCCCTTCTTCATTCACCTCGACGAAAGCTTTGTGGATAGTCTTGCTGACGACGAGCTCCTTGTTGACTGAGAACTGCGACAGGTCGGCTGAACTACTGTTGAACAGGTCACGGATTCCCAGGTTCTTGAGGCCCTGGTCAAGGAAGGGACACAATGGGTGTTAATTATGGTATTGGTTTTTGTTTTTATCAATCACTTGATCTATTAACTGTAATCAAATCATAGTCCCCATCACCGTCATCCCCTCCCCCCAACATCACTCTCTTAAACAGATTAAGGGTTCATTAGTAATACCGCGTGTGTTCCTTTTATAAACGCAGTCTAGAAAGCTATTATCGTGCCTCAGCTCATCTGAAGCCTGACCCAAGAAACGGATATTTTAATGAGCAATTTTATATGTTTTTCATTAGGAATAAAGTTATTAAAGTTTGGATCATGTTAATTACACAGTAAAGCTGGAACTAGCTGATGTCTTACCTCCTTCAAATCATCCTCGAGCATCTGTTCCAACTTAAACCTGGGCAGGAAAAGTTCGACCGTGTCAGTATGGGCCCGTTCCTGGGTGGCTCTCAACAGGGTGCCGGAAGTGAGCGCTGACACCACGCACCGGAACCCTTCCTCTCCCTCGACGTCCGGCAGTAACAACAACATGGAAATGGCGTCTCCGGCGTAGGGCACTTCCAGAACTTGGGCTGCCAGCTCCTCTGAGTGGGCTGATAGTGAGGAGGAAGAGCTATCATGTACAATCTTATAGAGGTTGTAGTTTGATTTTAGTGAGTTGGTATTTGTGTGTACCAGCGTCAAATTTGAATACACTTATTACATAATAGTTTGTGATTATGTCCTGTTATGGACATTGTCAAGGGCGAAAAGAAGCAGGCACTGGAGGCCCTATGCAGGAAGAAGGGACACGAAATAAGATCCAGTGGACAGGAATAATGCAGAATGTTTGGTTAAAATTGATCAGTGGTCGTATAATGATATTAATGAAGGTTTTAATTACAGTATGACCTACTAATCCCATGATTGTGTTGGGTCACATAGAGAGGATGCAGTTGGTAACTGCTTTGACATGACCGACAGGAAAGTAACCTCTGGCTAATTGAAAGGGGCACTACCTCTCTATATTTGGGAACCAAATTTGAATGTGGATCGAATATCTATGGAATCCTCTGTCTCTCTCAGGTGCTCCAGTGCTCCATTTCCAGTATCTGAAATACTGGAGCACTTGAGAGAGAGGAATAACTTCTGATCCATATTCAGATACGGATCCAGACTCCAGGGAAAAGTCTCCCTCAGAGGTGCTGCAGGACCGACAAGCACAATGCTCTCTGACCCTGTTGGGGAGGGAAGACTCATGTAGCGTCCATGGTAGAAGATCTTTGGTGAGTGTAAGCGTAATATTGTGTACCAAAATGTCCGAAATATGTCAGCGGTAGATCAATTGTGTAGCAACACAGTTTTCTATCGACGACTGAGTTAATGGTAGTATCTTTGGAAAGTCAGATGGAGACCAGGAAATTTATATATATTCTGGAAATTAGTTAGGAGGGCCAGACCAGTAATGCATTAAAATATTGTGTTGAAATGTTGGTTGATCAAGGGGGACATAAATATGTCAAATGCACACTTTTATCCACATCGAAATTATTACACAGACTTGATGTGAGAAAGTCAATGCATTTACTGAAGAACTGAGTAAATGTTATCGTTAATATCTCTTTTCTCCCCTTAGAATGAATATAATCCGCCTCTCTCCCCCTTTTTCATGGTTATCTAGAGCCTATCACTCCTATTCTAATGTAGCTATCAGGAGTGTGATTACCGTAGTAGGCCGGCCTCACTTAAGATCTGGGAGTGAAGGTCTCTCACTTCCCCTATAATAAGAAACAGGCCAGTGCAAGGCTAATGGTAACTAAAGTATAGTCAACTTGAATCAGATCCCATAACCCGTATTAATGTGCTTACTCCCTTCACTTCATAACAATGCCTCCGTCGTTTTTACAAGCTGGTCTTGAGACTTGAAGTGTTTCTGGGGCTCCATCATATTAATAATAATGACGATAATACAAGGACACTGGCCGAGCTTCACCTGGTGATATAACCTTACCTAGCCTGAGCTTTGTCTTGATCCTCATCATGGGCACGTCGACAGAGTGGCCGGGGGAGACAAAGAACTGCCTGGGTTGTGTGTGCGAGGGTTTGAACTGGTACCTCCAGGTGCCCTTGAAGTAGGCGGCGTTGATAAGCATCATGATGGCGTCCACCATGTCATCAGGGCTCACCAGATTCGGAATGAGGCCTTTGGTGGTGGTGGACACGAACTCGTTGATGGTGGCCGAAGAACCGTAAAGCTGGCGATGAACAAATTGCTCGTTAATATTCATCTTGATAAATGGGCAACATTGAAAACTTTTCACAACAGATGAGCCTAAACATCCCCTCACTTGGGGATGGCCAACCCAAGTCTTGTAGATAACCCGCCTGGACTCTGGGAAAGGTAGAGTTGGTCCTCCACCAGACGCTCCAGTCAAATACACAACGAAGTGACAATAGTGTAACTGGGATTGTCTTGTGTACACTTCTCTGACTGCTCACCTCTTCGTACTTGATCACGACTACTACCATGATCATTTTAGTAATAGCTTAACCAAGTTACGCAATTAACCTGATCGCTTGTAACTTGGTCACTTTAATTTAATTACTACAATTGTAACTTCATAGCTATAATTGAGACTTGATCACTACAATTGTAACTTGATAACTGCAATAGTACCTTCCTTAACACAACTGAAACTAAATCACTATAACTGATAATTTTTCACGGCTATTCTAACTTAATCACTGAAAATGTAACTTACTCTGTACAATTGTAACTTAATCAATGCAATTGCAACTTGATTTCTTTAATTATAACTTAATCAATTGCCGTTGCAATTGTAACTTCGAGACAAATTCAAATTGAAACTTATTCGCAACATATATAACAGTCTTAACCTACATAACATAAGGGTCCAGTTCCTGAAGCCATTCAGTGACCCACAACATCGCAAGGCGGTTCGGACACATAATAATCTAATTAACCAAAATTAATTAAACAGGTCAATTTTCCGCCAAGAAATACGAGAAAAACATGACAAAAGGCATTTGAACATAATGAATAAAAACCCTTATCTCTTACGTCTGAGAAGTCGATCTTCTGGAGCTCCTTGTGGAGGATGGTGGAGATGCAAGGTCGCAGGTCAAGGAGGTCGTCAAAGTAGGCACGATTGGCGATGTTGAAGGTGTACTGGGACTGGCTGCTGGCTCGCTGGGCGTACCTGTGTGGGGGAGAGCCTGGCTGTAGTGGTGATGGTAGCAGTATTGGTGGTAGCATTAGTGGTGGTGGTAGTGGTGATGGTGGTGGTAGTGGTGATGGTGGGAATAGTAGTGGTAATGGTGGCAGTAGTGGTGATGGTAGCAGTATTGGTGGTGGTGGAAGTGGTGATGGTGGGAGTAGTAGTAGTGATGTTAGCAGAAGTGGTGGTGGTGGTAGTGGTAGTGGTGATGGTTGCAGTAGTAGTGGTGGTAGTGGAGATGGTGGTGGTAGTGGTGATGGTGGAAATAGTAGTGATAATGGTGGCAGTAGTGGTGATGGTGGGAGTAGTAATGATGGTGCTAGTGATGGTGATGATGCTAGTGTTGGTGTTGGTGGTAGTGATGGTATTGATGCCAGTGATGGTGTTGATGCCAGTGATGGTGTTAGTGTTAGTGATGGTGATGATGCTAGTGATGGTGTTGGTGCTAGTGATGGTGTTGGTGCTAGTGATGGTGATGATGCTAGTGATGGTGGGAATAGTAATGATGGTGCTAGTGATGGTGATGATGCTAGTGATGGTGTTGGTGCTAGTGATGGTGATGATGCTAGTGATGGTGTTGGTGCTAGTGATGGTGATGATGCTAGTGATGGTGGGAATAATAATGATGGTGCTAGAGGTGATGAAACTAGATGGTGTTGGTGCTAGTGATGGTGATGATGCTAGTGATGGTGTTGATGCCAGTGATGGTGTTGATGCTAGTGATGGTGTTCGTGTTAGTGATGGTGATGATGCTAGGAATGGTGAAGATACTAGTGATGGTGTTGGTGCTAGTGATGGTGGGAGTAGTAATGATGGTGCTAGTGATGGTGATGATGCTAGTGATGGTGGGAGTAGTAATGATGGTCCTAGTGATAGTGATGATGCTAATGATGGTGTTGATGCCAGTGATGGTGTTGATGCTAGTGATGGTGTTAGTGCTAGTGATGGTGTTGGTTCTAGTGATGGTGTTGGTGCTAGTGATGGTGTTAGTGATGGTGTTGGTTCTAGTGATGGTGTTGGTGCTAGTGATGGTGTTGGTGCTAGTGATGGTGATGATGCTAGTGATGGTGTTGGTGCTAGTGATGGTGTTGGTGCTAGTGATGGTGTTGGTTCTAGTGATGGTGTTGGTGCTAGTGATGGTGTTGGTGCTAGTGATGGTGATGATGCTAGTGATGGTGTTGGTGCTAGTGATGGTGATGATGCTACTAATGGTGATGATACTAGTGATGGTGTTGGTGCTAGTGATGGTGTTGGTGCTAGTGATGGTGATGATGCTAGTGATGGTGTTGGTGCTAGTAATGGTGATGATGCTAGTAATGGTGATGATACTAGTGATGGTGTTGGTGCTAGTGATGGTGATCGTGGACAAATAAGAATATGATGAACGAATCATACTCTTTCATCAGTCACCTAATGGGGGCTACAACCTCCCAGGGTTCTAACCCACAGCAATTTTCTTAACTTGCTTGGTACCAATTAATTGCTTGATGAACAGGTGCATCAGGTGAAAGGAAACGTGACCAGGTGCTTGTGTCCTGCCAGAGAATTGAATTCGAGTCCCTCGCGTGCGAGCTGAGGCTGTAGCCTACTGCACTGCAGGAGTCACGTAGCATGCAGGCGATGAGTCACAATAACGTGGCTAAAGTAAGTTGACCAGACCACACACTAGAAGGTGAAGGGACGACGACGTTTCGGTCCGTCCTGGACCATTCTCAAGTCGATTGTGATGAGGAAGAAGATGCAGGCAATAAATAGGCTAGAGAGAGGTGAGGAGCAAAGTGTAGTAGAGGAGATAGTAGTAGGAATAAGAACTGCAGAAGGCCTATTGGCCTTCTGCAGTAATAGTAATAGGATAGTAATAATTAAATAAAAATAAGTTGGTCTAAAAAAATAAAAAAAAAATTGATTGGTCTTCCTCCAAAAATTATTTTAGAGGAAGACCAATCAATAGGATGATTGGAATCCCTCACATGACCGAAGAGAGCATTGTTAGTGTCTGCAGACTTAACACTTCTCTTGTGTTCTTTAAGTCTGTAATTCAGTGTACGGCCAGTTTCGCCAAAGTATTGGAGAGGACAAGACGAATTCTTTCTTTCTCTTTCCTTTTCTTTCTCTCTTCTCTCTTTTCTATTCTTTGTTTGCTTTACGTTCCCTTCCTATCCTCTTCTTATTCCTATTACTATCTCCTTATTCGGTGGTTATAATAGGAGCAGCCTCGTATAGGCCAATAGGCTCTCTGCATTTCTTATTCCTACTACTATCTCCTCTACTACACTTTGCTCCTCACTTCTCTCTAGTTTATTTATTGCCTGCATCTACTTCCTCGTCACAATCGACTTGAGAATGGTCCAGGACAGACCGAAACGTCGTCGTCCCTTCACCTTCTAGTGTGTGGTCTGGTCAGCCATGTAGCATGTGCGTTGCTGGGGAACTCATCATCAGTGTTTATAAGCATCTTTGTGTCTGGGAATACTATTGGTGTAAGTGAATATTGTAATGTGCTTGAAGAAATCGTGTATGATAATAATGTAGTGAGGTGATAGTCGGTACTCACATTACGTCAAGTGCGCGCCACAACCGCAGTGTTGACGCCTTGTCCGTAACCCTGAGCGCGGCTTCCAGTTGGGTCTTGGTGCTTCCCGCCGTCCCGAAGTAGGTCAGGGTGAGCGCTGTCCAAATGCTATAGGGCGAGAAAAAGAAGTTCTCGGCCGGGGTGTTGCGGGAAAGTTGTCTGTAGAGATCAAAGCTGAAGTCGTTGATGCCGGAGAGGTCAGTGTTGACGCCTCTGGAGTTGCCACTGTCGGAGAGGCATTGTGGGACGACGCTGGCCACCGTTGCCACGACAACCGTCGCCATGGTAACTCCCGCCACAGCTTCCCACCTCATATTTCTGCCGGAAGACAAGATTTTTATTTTATATATTTAATTATTTATATATACAAGAGTTCTTATACATTCTTGTACAGCCACTAGTACGCGTAGCGTTTCGGGCAAGTCCTTCATCCAATGTTCCCTGGAATACGACCCGCCAAATCGTTTAACAACCAGGTACCCATTTTACTGTTGGGTTAAACAGAGACTACAGTTAAGGATTGGCGCCCAGTAAATCCTCTCCGGTCAGGACACGAACCTAGAAACAAAGGTCTCGCGAAACGCCAGGAGAGGGTCTAAACCGCTACACCACGGTGACTGCTTAAATCTCTTGAACCCTTCATGTGAAACTGAAACCTTTCTGTCACTCACCCGCCAGATATGATTAATGGGGATCATAATAAACTAATTAACCTGTGACTGTTGCCGAGGCCATGTAACTGGCTCATCAAGGCTGAACTTGTTTCACTAAACCAACTTTGGGATTCCGTTTCTGAGCCGATTATCTGTATCTATTAATTAGGATGTCTGTCTGTCAGAGAAGGGAAGCCAGACGCTTAGGGCTAGCCTCTCACAGAACATTACATCCTGATTTGTGACTTTACAGTCAAAGCCATAGGACGGTTGGGGTCGACCTCTCCTTAATTAAGAAGGATCGGCTCCTATGCGCCCACCAGCAAGTCCTGTGAAATATAAAATGAGGGTTTGACTGTCCATAGAGTGTTAAACAGAGTTAACAGCTGTTCTCCCAAAGAATCAACGTCCATTCCATTGATTCAACATCAATAACGTTGACTGAATATTACTCGAGCATCTTTTGCCCATTAGGAGAGGAATGGGATGGACGGAGAGAGGTAGAGGGAGGGGGAACAGGAGGTAGAGACGTGAGAGAGGGAGAGAACCAGAGAGATTTAGAGTGACAGAGGCAGAGAGAACTGGAGTGATGGAGAGAGGTAGAGGGAACGAGAGGGAGAGTGACTGGGGTATGGTGCCCAGTACCCCCCACAGGATGAGTATGGTGCCCACTACCACCCACAGGATGGGTATGGTGCCCACTACCGCCCACATGATGGGTATGTTGCCCACTACCACCCACATGATGGGTATGGTGCCCACTACCGCCCACATGATGTGTATGGGGTCCACTACCGCCCACAGGATAGGTATGGTGCCCACTACCGCCCACATGATGGGTAATTGAAATTGTAATAAGTTTATTGAGGTAAAATACACTCAAAGATATGAGGTAGCTCAAGCTATTCTCACCTCATTCAGTATGTGTTCATACATATATAGACACATCACAAACAATAAACATATTACCAAACATTCTGAGTGATATACATTTCTTCCTTTACACATGTAGTATGTTACCAGACGTACACACAAATACTTTTGTGACTAGGTATATAGACAATTTGCAGTAGACATTCAGACAATTCAACAAAAGGTTACAATCTTGGTGCAAAATTCTTCTATCTCTCCAGAATATCATCAGTCTTTCTGTTGTGACACATCCAGGCTATTTGTTCAGGAACAGTCCTTATCTCTGTGTTTCTATATACATTAATCAACGGGCAATCGAGAACATATGGGTGAGGGTGTGAGACCTTAACATGCCACATAGTTTACACTTGTCATTATCATTAACACCTATTCCATATTCCCAGTAATATTTGTACCCAAGCATGAGCTGTATATGCAGTCACTCCAAGCATTTCTCCTTTTACCATAAGTGAAATGGGTGTTTTGACACACACACATGTAGTGTTGCATGGTTTGACTTCTCTTATGCATTATACCTCTCCTCGCCACTTCTGCCTGTGCCTGAATATTTCTGATTTTGTTTCTTTCTTGTCTCATTGTGAAAACGCATTCAATGCCAACTTGTGGTTTTGATGTGACACGTTTGGCCTTGTCATCCGCCACCTCATTGAGCACTATTCCAACATGAGATGGAATCCACATGAATTTCATTTTGTGACCTTTCAGCTGTATCTCATATACATGTAAACTGTTGCCTCTTGGTAACCGGGATATCATGCTTCCATACAAACACCGTAATTGTCCCGGTTCATGATGAATCTTTTTCACATTGAGGGGTACAATTTCGACGTCTATTTTCTGTACTTTCCAGGGAGCAGACATATTACCCTGTCGAGAGGGTTTACAGCAGTCAAGTACATCGTATTCCCTGAGGTCATGAGCTAATCCCCTCGTGTAGCGTGTCTCCCTCAGTTTCCTGGAAGTGTGTACGTCACTCAAGCAGGTCTGAACGCTCTCAAACAGCTTATCCCCTCCTTTTCTCCGCATGAAACGAATAGCTACTCTAGTGTTAATGTCACGGACTCTATCACACACACTCTGTAAATTTAATTCCATTCTCATTATTTCAATCATTGCATTTCTTTGACATCCAAGAATAATCCTCATAGCCTCGTTCTGTATCAGCTCTATTTTTTGAATTCTGCCTTGGCCTGTGTAAGACAAAACGGGTGCTGCGTAGTCTATCAGGGACCGAACAGTGCTTATGTATAACATCCGTAAGATAGGTACCCCAACACCTTTACCAGAAAAAGCCAGTGCTTTTTGAGGATGCAGACGGGCTTTACATAAGGTGCTGATATGATTTATTTCAGCATTTTTACTCTCACATGTGTATCCAACATACATGCCCAGATACTTGTACTTCTGAACACGGCTCAGTTCCACACCATTTAGAGTAAGTGTTATATTTCTTCGTTTCCTATACTCATATTTGGTTTTATCTGCATTTATAACTAAGCCTAACTTGTGACAGGTTGTACCAAGTATGTTAAGAGCAGTTTGAATTTTGTTCCCGGAAGTGCCTTGTATAAGAATGTCATCAGCATATATGATCGTCGTGACCCCTGGAGGATACATTTCTGATGCTAATCTGTTCATTAATACATTGAATAAGGTGGGACTTAATACTCCCCCTTGTGGGGTACCTAACTGAAACCTCCGTTCCTCAGACATGCATCCCTGATAATACACCTGACCTTTTCTGCCTTGTAGATAATCCCTTATCCAGTGTAACAATCTCCCTGTTATTCCCAGATTGGCTAATTCGTATAAGATTACTTCCCCATTGGCTTTATCAAATGCTCCTTGTAGATCAACAAAAACTCTACAATTGTCATCCATATTAGACAAACACTTTAAGAGACAATCCGCAGTACTTTTGCCTTTGACAAAACCAAAGAGATTACTGGACATGTTATCACCTACAAGGTAGAGTAGCCTATTTAACAAAATCCTTTCCATCATTTTACAAAAGCAGGATATTAAGGAGACAGGTCTGTAGCCTCCGTTAGACTTAGGGATAGGAATGATGACAGCCTCTTTCCATTTTCTTGGTAACTTTCCCTCTCTATAACTCATATTAAACAAATCAAGTAAGGGACTAGGTTTCATACCGGCTAAATAATTAAGAATGTCATACGTTACTCCATCTTTCCCAGGAGCAGTAGAGCTGCCACTTTTTATAGCATCCAGTAGCTCATCGTGAGTTATCTCAGTGCACGCTATAGATCTTGTATTTAAGGCACATAAAGTTACTCCATTTCTAATATTTTCCCATGACTCAATGGTGATTCTCGTGACTGCAGGTAAGGACTCCATACCAGCAGCACTAGCCCATTTATCTACTAACTCATTAGCAACCTTCCCTGGATCTGAGTGAGCAATGAATTTGGTCTTACAACCCCTGACTTTATTTACTGCTCTCCATATGTCTTTAAGGTTCTTAGTATTACCAATGGACTGAGCAAAGTCTTGCCAGTATCTGCCCCGCGCCTCCTTCCTCACCTGACTGCATTCCCTAGCCACTTCCAACATTGTATTTTTCTCTTCATCCCTCATTCCATTTTTTATCCATTCTTTATGTGCACTCCGTAGCATTCTCTGCCACCCCTTGACTTGCTGATCATTGGAATATTTAAATTTCTTAGGTCCATGCGTCTTGCTTCCCCTGCCCCCGTTATTTTCCCTCTGTACTAATTTCTCTATGTTCTCGACCATATCCTCGTAAAAACTATCAACGCAGAGCGGCGTGTATTGTTGATATCAATCTCCCATATTTTGAATAAAATAATTTTTCATATCTTTATTAATATTTAGCCTTTTCCTTTGAAAGTAGACTTGTTTTTTCCCCAGTGGTAATTCAACGTTCAAGGCAAAGTGGTCACTAAGTAGTTCCCGAACAACCCGAGCCTCCCCCATAATCCCCTGAGAGTTTAAAATGCAGGCATAGTCAAGCCGTCCTCCCCTGATGTGAGTTGGTTCATTGTTTCCCAATAGACAGGTATCTGGATGATCTTGTAGAAACTGTAACCACTTGACCCCATTAGTACTAATGCTACCCACTGTCCCAAGGCTTGTGTGCCGAGCATTAAGGTCCCCAATAACCAGTGAAGGATCAGTATAAATGCAGTCAGGTAGATAGTTAGCGTCGAAGCAGTTCCTGGATACATACAAATTAACTACACTAACTTCCCCTTCCCTTAATGATAATTTAACACAGACACTCTCTATACCTTGCGTTTTTGACGGGGGTTCTACTAACTCTGCTGGTATGGAGTTCTTTACATAAATTGACGTGCCTCTGATGTTATTTGCGGCGAAGAGGTGAAACCCTTTATAACCATTTAATTTCAATATGCCTTCATTCCTATCCCCTGTCTCCTGGAGAGCTACAACATCACTATCATTTCCCATCACATAACAATGAACATCTGTAACCCTGTTTCTTAAACCATTAACATTCCATGACAAAACTTTCAGTCTAGGGTGATCCATTATTAATCAATTCAATGCCTAAGTCATCCCCTATAAATTCACTAAATGATAGCCATACCTGGCATAACATCTCCCACCTCCTCCCAAGTTCACCATTATTAATCAATTCACTGCCTAAGTCATCCCCTATAAATTCACTAAATGATAGCCATACCTGGCATAACATCTCCCACCTTCTCCCAAGTTCACCAGTAAAAG